CTGCCGCTGACTCCGCTGACAACGCTGCCGCTGACGATGCCGGAACCGCCACCACTGACGCCTCCGACTCCACTGACTCCTCCCCCGCTACCCCCGCCGGATCCATGATCCTCCGAACTTCTGGAACACGCGATGATCGCGTTAAGTCTACCGCGGGCACGATGATAGCCTGCCGTGAATATGCTCAACGACGTGTACAACAAAGATTATCATTATTCCTCCTTCCGGTCAGATCTCCGGGCTCTTGTAAATTCATCCTTTCAACTTTTACTTCCTAAATATAATCTACCAAGATTTTGTTTTATTTCTCTCGTATACACACGTAGGAGAAAGTTAATCATATTGATTACTGTATTAGCTGTACTCGAGTGACGCACGGAGTTTCACTAGGATGCTGCCGGCTACCGAATACAGTGGAGCCTCGATTAAATTCAATTAACAACAGAAGATTTGGAATTGTTAAACTTTTCTTTAATACCGATATTTATCAAAGTTATTCCATTATCCGAACAGAGTGTCACGATTAGTTCGGATAATCAAGGTTCTGCTGCACTAGTGAAAATAATTAAATACCACTTTCACATTGCTGTAAGTTCTCTTTTCTTTTATGTAACTTTGTTCGTTTGATTCTAATCGATATAAGAAACAAGCTGACAAACACATGACGAGGTGGTCGTTTTACCGTTTAAAAATTCAACACTTTTTGTCTCAAAATCCGGGAAAATTTTTTTGAAACGGTTATTTCATTTTTAAATAGTAGAACTACCTTGTTTTTTTAATCTTTAACCTGCGTTATATCAGCTAACGTGACTGCAAAATACGTGACTGGTAAGTATAGTTCCTATCTCAACAAGGAGAGCGTAAACTACTTAATGTTACGTCTCAAACTCCTCCTAATGTTATAAAACGAAGACCGTGTAGAGAATTTAAACTGAAACTCCCTGTAGATCTCTCGACGCTGACAACATCAATCATGCCGCCCCCGGCGCTTCTAGCATCAGGTGAATATTATTAAGTTCTTATACTTGTTGGTCGTTTCGTTTCCTAATGCCAACTCGCTTGAAACCTAAAACTAAGCGTCAATCTTACGCTATTGAATCTAGAAGGAATATAAACGTTATGCTAGATCAAACATTCATCGAGCCAACTTATTTGCCTCGTACATTGCGTCAAAGGAAATAAACGATGCATCAGCTTTTTTCGCTAACAAAAACTTATCACTGAGCAAAATGAAACAAGACTCGTGTAAATAGAAATTAAACATTCTTCTGTACGATCAAAACAATTTTCATTAACCCTTTAATTATTATAGACGAGTGTACGCGTTTCAATGAATCTCACTGGTGTAGACTATGGATGTACCCCATCAACTGTCGTTAGTATAAATTGTAAATGTGTTTGAAACGAATAAAGACATTTTATCTCTCGTATTCCATTTAATACTAGAAAGACCGATCGTGTAAAAATGATCCATTAACAACTTTCCAAAAAGAGTGAATGTTCGATACCTTAGTATTATAGTTTGTAACTTTCTAGCTTTGTTTTATGCACTTCTATTTGTATCGATACGAATTTAATTTTTTAATCGTGTTTTAGTTACATAAAAATTCACTTTTGGAAAGTTACTAACAGATCATCTTGACCCAGGCCGTTCTTCTAGTGTTAAAAGAATGAAAAAAAAAAAAAAAAAATGAAAGAGTTGATTAGTTTTATTGGGTCACGCTGTAAATTCGTGTCGTGTTTTAAAATTTAGATCGATATTTCCAACAAGCCTTTAAATTTGATAAAAAAATAAACGTAAACGCCTTCTCGTTCCACAATTTTTTCTTATTTTCTGGTAAGACTTATGAGACGTCCCGTAAACTTATGGGATGACCAAATGCGTCTCGTTCAGCGCGTAGCGTAGAAATAAATGTTGCATTCATAGCAATGATCATCGCAGATCATACCTAGTCGACAATAAGCATTTAGCTTAAAAATATTCAACGTGGAAAGAGTTAACAATATCTCCTCAACTATTCAGCTGCGAGTAAAACACCACGAGATATTTTCGTTGAAAATCATCACAGAAACATCTGGTACAATACTTCGATCATCTTTAATACACGAAGTATTCTTGTCAAATGTCTTGTATATATTATATATTTTATTATTCTTTTAACAAAAATTGAAACATGTGAAAAATACATTTACATGTATTTAAATGTGCAGAACGTTTTCCTTTTTAACACAGACTAACAACTATTCTTCAATTCCCTAAGGGTGAAGACAACCCTTTAAAGAAACGGTGAGTTTTCATATTATCGTAAATATTTATAAAACAATAGCATACTGTTTCTTAAGATATGGAAAAGAAAGTTAAATTCAAAGTTGCGTAGTTCCTGAATGTCCTACATTGTAGTGGCAAAGAATTTTCGGAAAGCATTATCCTCTTCACAATTTACTCCCACTATTCTTAATTTTCTGAGAAATACAAACCCTTTTACTGTTCTTCGATTCCCTACCTTTCTATAACTTCGTTCAGCTAATTATAACAAATTTTAGCGAATTCTTAAGGGGTCGTATACGTTTCCGGGCACTAAACAGTGGTCAATGCTTATTAGTGATTAGAGAACAGACCACACTGCTAGCTAAACAACTTGCAACGCCTAGAAATTGGGGCTGCACAAACCTGGAAATCACATATGTTTTTCGGGCTACTCTGAGGGGAAA